GAAATGGTTCAGTGTTAAAGCTAAATGGAGACAGGAGACGTTTCTCTCCTCATTATCTTCAGTGACCTCGGCACTGGTTTTGCCTATGGAATGCAGGGGTACATCTGCTCCACATCAAAGTTCATTCCACATTTTTCTGCCCTCTGTCATCTCGTATTTGCAGTACATTCCCCTCTCTTTCCTTGATTTTCTTTTGCTTTTCCCCATTCTTGGCGGACTTCAAGGACACTGGAAAATTCACCATAGCATGTTTTACAAAAACAAAGAAGAATAAACCTTTGTTATTTGAGGATCATCAGAACAATTTCTGATGAATTCTCAGCAGTCTTGCATGTGGCCTGCTTTTCTAATGCCGTTATTCATATAATTTCCAATATAAACTTTTTCCATCCATTGTTTATTTTATTAGGTTTTGGTGAGCTTTGCTGCACATGGGTTTCAGTCTGGATTACAAAGGTACCTTTAACACTGCAACAGCGAACTTTGCTCTGTAAAGCATGAGTTTTTCTTTTGTTTATGGTGAAGAGGTGCCAAAATACACATACACACAAAAAAGAAAGTGTGACAAACCTCAATAAAGGTTGATTCCTCAGCATAGCACACAAGCACACATTTACTGAACTGAGATGCTGCTGAGCTCTCTGTTAGCAGATAATGTTCCTCATATGTTCCAAGAAGTGTACAGGCTCACAAGGATAGGGCCAAAAGATTATTCGACTCTGGCCTGACTAACCTGTAAACCAATAATGGTCAGAGTAAATTTAAAATGCCAGATAACTTTGTTGCCTGGTCTGCAAATTTTAGCCATCTGCACTGCACTGGAGATACTGAGGTTCTTGGATTCTTTTTTAACAAGTTGTTCAATTTCCTTTAGGACAATGTCTGGAGCTCATCTTCTAAAGGATTAAATGATTAGCATTCTAAAGAACAGAACTGGAACTGCATAGGTTTTAGTCCCACTCACCACCACAACAGTTTGTACTCCCAGGCAGCTCCCTGTGCCACAAGTTAGTGCATGCAATGTGCAAACTTCACTTTCCTGTAATTAAAACCCCCACTCTGAGTGCAATACATCCATGTCAGATGCACTGGAATGAAAAACAAAGGTATTTTTGGGTTGCCACATTGGGCAGAATAGAACCAGGCCACTTAATTTGCAGGGCAGGTGGAACTAGGAACTACCACGAGCAGCATGGATATAAGACCTTTTTATGCCACTTGGCCTGGCCACACAAGCATTTCATGTCTTGCCATAGGTGTTGTTGTGGCTGCAGGGAGGTATCTAAAGACATTGAAAAATGCTCCACCAATGATGACAAGAAGCATTATTCCTTCTTACTGCACAGCGAAGTACACAACATCCCTGAGTGTTGGAATAAATCAGCCTCCATTCTTTTCATGCAGAAAGCTGAATCTTTACTTTATAGATCATATTTTGTAGGGTTATCAGAAGGCACTGTATCATATTTGATTGGTTGACAATACATTTACACCTAGTTTATTGGTTGGTACATGATATTTTGCATATCTATCAAACTTCTGTATTTTTAGTTAGTTTACATTTATTTTTCTATTGGTTCTCATGGGACAAACCCCTTGTTTTTGCAGGTGCATTTGTTTTTCACCCTCAGAATAGATTGTTGTGGTAACAAACTCTCACTCTCAAAATAGTTTCACATGGGAACTTGTAACTGCACTTAGAAGAAGTGACAGGGTAGCTTTGGCAATTTAACAGAGTGAGGCCTGGTTTCATAAGGCTTTTCTTTTATAATTCTTTTACCTGTCTATGACACCTGAGCATAAATTTGGCTGAGCTGCAAGTGAACTGGGCTTCTATGATGGGCATATGAGTAAAAAGAAATGCTCTGGGCATCCTTCCTACCCCTTCTATCCCAGGCTACTCCTGCTGAAGGCTGGGTTGGTTTAGCCCATGTTTACATGTGAGCCTCTCAGTACCAGAACGCAGCACTGATGGTCACGGCAGGCTAATAATTAGGTCTGCTTGTAAAATGCTTTGAGGTCATCCTTTCCTTTTCTTCACACAAATCAACTTATTCACACATAACTAATTCCCATATTACTTCACTATTTGTCCCCAGCTACCTAACCCTCTATACAGAATCTGCAGGCATAATTTGCATAGATTTGAGATGGGAGAGGAAGATACAATTTTAGTTTTACTCAAGCTCTTGGATGTGACTTTGGCATAGGAAGCTCAAAACCAAAGGCCCAGAAAGGTCAACTGGGTCCTACTTCATTTGCACATCTTTTGTTCTTTTCAGGCTTTTTAACAGATTTCTCTCTCAGAGAACAAACTTGAGTCCTTTGTCTTCTCCTCGTGTTGCCTTTTTTGTCTAGGAAGGCCACTCACTGGTTTAACACTGGATCAGCTTTCAACAGCTTCACCAGTGTGACAAGGACTATTGCAGGGCTGAGATCACATCCAGCAGGCATGGAAGAGAGTCTGTGGCTCTTCCCAAATTCATTGGTGCTGTGCTTTTTTTCATAGTTCCCATCTGCATTACATTTAGTGCCTCTTTTTCCAGTTGCTTTTGTTTTCAGCAGAACAGAAACAATTTGTGCCATTATACTGCATTTCTTGTCTATGGTGAGACAGAGGGTAAATGGTGAGAATCCATTGTGAGCATTAACTGAGTCTTCTCTGAGCTCCTCACTTCTCTGCCTTTGAATTCCAGGGATAAAAAACCCTGCTATTCTCTTTTGCCTGTGAAGAAACATTTCAGTTTCAATCTTGCTTTTCAGGTTCTGCTCTTCAGCCCACTGCTGGTTTCACAGAACACAAATAGTTGGAATATGCCATCTATGGGCCTGAGGAAGGCTTGCAAGCTCTAATTGGTTACAGAGGCCTGTTCTGCTATTTAAAGAGGGAGGCAAGCTGTATATTCCATTAAAGAAGTAATGACAATGTTTGGAGACAACTCCCATCCCTCATGTTAAACCACTTCCATTCTAAATATAAACCTGCCTGGCCACAAATGTTCTTCCTCTTAGGAAGTGACTACTGATTGTGACTGATTCAGTAGCATCTTACAGTGGTGATAGGAAGGAGAAAGATGAAACAAAACTGTCCTGATGTTGTTTTGGTGTTTGAATGGGTTTTTTTTCAGTAGAATATAAATTAATGTCTTACTTCACACAGCTCCTACCAAAGTCCTGGCTGCTGAGGCAGCCTAGGGTTGTCTAAGACCAGAGCTGGACTTTCTGTTACTCCTATCAAAGTCATATTTGGAGATAAATAAGGCTCATTTGCCTTATTTAGCACATTTTTAAGTGAAATATCATTTCAGCCAATAAAAGGCTGCAAGGTGAAAACTTCAAATAGATCTAACAGGGGACTGAGCAAAGAAAGCTTGTCCTGAAAGTGCGCAGCATGACAAATCGTGAGACATCTTGGCATGTAAACAAACCTCAGCAGCAGTGAGAGATACTTAGTAGGGGATGAGACTAATATTCTTATTCATGGGGCTGGATTCACTGCTTTTCCCACTGGAGCTGCTCCAGTGTGTCAGTGGAGCCAAAATCCAGCCCTGGTCCATGAGGTGCACTTCAGTGACACACTAGAGGAGAAGAGAGGATCCAAGGTACACAAAGTAGTCATTGCTCCATGTAATTTGTGGTAATTACTCATGTGCATGCTTTAGCCCAAGGTTGATTGAATTACCCTTCAATGAAAGACAGTTAGCTGATCAACTCAAATCCCCTGATATTTATCTTGACCTGAGAGCATGCACAGGGACACTCATTATGAACAAGCACAACCTGTGGCCAGGGCTTAACTTCTCTATGCCACCCAGTGCTGCAAATTCTGCTCTTTGTTACACATGCCTATAGAACCAGACACATCAGGACTGAGAGGAGTGGAAAGAGGTTCATGTCCCAGTTTATGTCATGGCCAACAGGAACTAGATTAATACATCTATATTCAGCATCTTTTGACAAATGAAGGGACATTGTCTGTCCAGCACCTTTTAAGAGAAAGAAACTTCAGTTTTTAAATATTCTAGGCATTTAAGCCAAAGAGGACAGCTGATATTGTCTCCTCAGGTTGTCTGTCAACTGTTATGTCGAGTCTTTCCCAGAATGATCCTGTTGCTTTGTGCTGAGTTTACATTAACCCTGTGTAAACCTGTTTGTTCATCAATGGCCAGAAAGGTTGTTCCCAGAGCAAAATCAAACATAGAAGTCCCCAAATTTTCATGGGGATAGTGCTCAGAATCTATTTCCTGAAAAATATTACAAAGGGCATGCAGTAGAAAAGGCAACCTAGTCAAGAGACAGACAGGCACTTTACAGTGGACACTAAGAACAAGCAAAGAAAGAGCCTTCTGTCCAGAGACACTGGAGCTGCTCACACCACAGGCATAAGCAACCTCTGAGTTAAATCTCCTGTCACCTTCTTGAGTAAGGCTGACTTTCACAGATGTGTTAGTGTGGTTCACTAGATGCTCCCTCAGAGTAGGAGTGATGCAAACCTCAGATAGTCCTCCCAGTCAGCCTCCAAGTGATTCTTGGTTATGCCTCCCAGTGATGTTATCTTGAGGTTTGTGGCCTTGAGAAACAGTGACCAAGTCAATTATACTCATTAAAGAGAATGGCAAGGGTGAAAGGAGAACATTTTAAAGGTGTGTGAGCAGTTTCTATAAACAGCAAGCTAATCTAGAAGGGGCAGCTGCTCTGCACTCTCATTCGATTGTTTCTGAATAAAGGTGCTCTTCAGCAAAGTGTGATATCGATTCTCTTGCTTGCTGCAGACACCATGGCCATTATGCCTCTCCCATAAAGCTACAGCTTATCCATGAACTGTTCCTTTGACCTGATGCTCTTTTTTCATATCCTCAGACACTGGCAGCATCTAAATCATGCAAATTTTCTGCACATCATCTTGCTCAGCTCACACACATATCTAAATACTCATCTTTCTCTAATCTCCTAAAGCTCTCCTCCAGGCTCATGTTACTTTTTTTGCATCTCTACCACAGATCCCACTTCTTGACAGAATCAAATACAGGCATTTTCAAAGCCCTTCATAAGTGAATTAAGGATCCAGTTTCTGGACACAGACAGGACCCTTGAAGACCTTCAGTGATGGGCAGAAAGAACTGCAGGTGTCCACTTCTTGTAAGTTAAAAACCTAAAAGAATAAAATGGTAGTTGCTAGCTGTACTCAGATAAGTGCTGGTGGTCTTCCTTATCACATAACTCCTCAAGGAGCTTCAGGAATTACTGTGGGGGAGACTCCTCTGAGCAGCACAAGCTGCATGTCTTCCCTCCTTCTTGTCTTACTCCATTGAGTGTAACTCAGAAAAGTTAGCCTGGAGGATGTGAGAATCTATCCTAGCAGTTGCTAGTGCTCCCTTGGTGGAGCTCAGACCTGTGTCTTGAGATCTGTGCATTTGGCTTGAAACAGCATGGACACACCACTGCTGGTGTCATGACATTACGGGGTTTGTGCTCTGGTGAAGCACCAACATGTGCTTGTGCAGAAATACAGAGTTAAGTAGGAAAACAGATTCCATATGCATCAGCCCAAATTTCCCATTTGTTATTCACAGTTTGTTAGATGGAAAGGTAGTTCACTCAGAGTTCTGCTTTTCAAATCCATATGGTTGCTGAAAGTGATGGTCACATTATTATGCCAGGTGCAGAGGGATGATTTGGAGTACTCAGCTTTCCATCCACAAATAAACATTTTTCCAAAGTGTTTTTGAAGTAGCCATCCCAGCATTTAGGTTTCCTTATGCTTAATTCCATTGTTTTTCCTGTGTGTTTGTTTAAAAACAGGAGAAAAAGAGGAGAGGAAGTTCAGAATTTAGTAACTACTGTGACCTTTCCAAGGACAAGGAGGAGATCTGGTCATGTGTATGTGCTTTTTGGTAGGACACCGGAAGGCAGAAAAATAGACTAGTCTAGATTAGACTAGAATCTCAGTTTGCAGACATAGTGGCTCACCTTTATCCACCATAAATGATGCTTCCAGATGCTTATCTTAAGTCTGATATGAATAAACTCACATGCTGTGAGCTGCTGGGCTTATCAGTCCAAAATATCTAGGAGACCACAGAATAAATTTTATTTTGGCCTGGTGGCTGTTGTGCAAAGCTTTAAATTCATGTTTTGTTCTTACCTTAGTGTTTGTGGGCTTCGGATGGGGAGCAGAATGTTAATATTTCTTTCACTTGGCAGGAGATGTCTGCACACCCCACACCATGCTTTGTTGCTTGATTTGTGGCTGGTTCTCTTCTTCCACTGCATTGGCACAAACACCAGTGAAACCCAGTGTTTCCAGTTGGCTGAGTGAATGAAGCCACTGAAAGAGCTTACTAAAAGAGCAGCCCTTGCAACCGTGAAGCAATTAACAACTTCATGAGTGTGATGAAAGAAATAATGGTGGTGGGGACAAAGAGTTTTCCCAATGTCACAGCAAGGCTGGGGCAATGCCAGTGGCAAAGCCTATGGCTCTCCCTTCCAGGACTTGGCTTCAGTCACTTCTGCCCTAGCTCAGCACTGCTCCCACTGGTCAGAGCACAGGGTACATGCTGCTCTTTGTGACATGGCCCCCTTGGTTCAGAAACAAGAACTTTGGGGTTTAATTCTGCTTTCTTTGACTGGTTCAGATTCATGCAGCAGTTCCAACACATCAATACTGTAAAAAAAAAGGCAGACATAAAACCGAGGTGGTTTTAGACTCCTACCACAAATACTTACTTATTTTCCTTTGCTTTGTGGTCTCACTGGTACGCTGCCTGTCTCATTTTACAGTCAAGAAATGTGGCCCTCCACCACATGGTGCTTGTCATTTAAATCCAGACAAGCTCTGACATCGCATTTTGTTATTTCTAGATGAACAAAACAGAAGAAACAGCTGATGTTTATAGAGAAATTACGTATCTTGTGATTTCAAAAGAACATCCTCATCTGGTCTTTATGGAGAAGAAGTTTGGCTGTTTCTTGGACATCTTCCATTTGAGTCTCGGTGAAACCAGGTGACACCTGGTGTGCCTCTGCTCCTGCACGCTGGGCTCTCTGTCTGCTCAGTAAGTTTTACCAGTGTGCTAGAAACTCAGAAATGGTAATTTATGCTTACTGGAACAAGCATTGCCTGCAACAAGGACACCTGCTCCTCTGTAAAAGACTTTCCACTTTGCAAGGTGATCAGCCCTGCCTGTTCTTCCTTCCTGCACTATAATACCTGATTTGAAGTTGCCCCAGAAATCCTGGTTTAAAAGCTTGCGCTGTACTTGAGGATGGACCAGTCTGAGCCCTTCAACATATCACTGTATGTCCAGCCAAAGAGAAATGAGTAAGGTCTGTGCTCCAGGTGTGCAATAATTCTACTCATCAGAGACTGAAATCCAAAGTCAAGGCGTGGACTTGCATACATTACATAGTGAAACACCAATCTTAACACTCATGTAACAAAGTGCAGCAAGTGTTTAATGGACATAAACAGGCAGCAGTGAAAATGTGGATACAAAGTATCAGAGGAAGTAAAATAGGATAATGTCAGGGAACAAGTTCTAAGAAAGCAGGACTAGAATAACACTAGGTTATTTTTTAAATTGCTATTTACTAGATAGGCTGTATGTCTATTTAAAATTAACAGCAGCATTAGTAAAAAAATCTACTTAAATCTGCCAAAGTCAACAAAAGAGAGGATTGGTCACTGAAATATCTTCCTGATCAAAATTAATGTCTGAATAAGAAGGTAGATTTGGGATTTAAAAGGACAGTCCATACCAAAACAGGGAAATCCAAATGCCATGTTAAATGCTTGTTGAATAGAATTTTTTCCTCCCTGTTCCTACTCTTGAAAAAAATTGGTAAGTGGGGTAAAAAGAAAATGGTTTTCCTCCCTTGGATACCTTTGCTGCTGGCTGAAGACAGCACAGCACTCCTCAGATGGCAAAAGAAGGAGGAATTCCTTTCGCAACATCTGCCTACGTGAGGGTCCTGGAATTTGCATCTTCCCTGAGCCTGCTTTAGCTCACCTCCCTGCCTTCTTGACATTCCCCTCTTGTCCAGCAGATAAGAGCACATTTTCAGAACCAGTTTTGCAATTACCCATCTTCTTAGTTTTCTTTCCTGACCTTTAAAGGGGATGCACCAAATAAATGCCTTTGTACAAGTGCCAGACTTTCTGCAGGGTGGCTGTTTCAAAGGAGTAAATATGATCTTTTCATAAATACCATGTCAGGCCCATGTAACTCACAACTTATTTATTACAGCCCTAATGCACACCGTGGAAGCCGGGGCTAGTGTTGCACAAGAACATATATCTAAAACATTTCAGGACTGCAGAGCAAGGTGGACAGCTAGATTTTTGTGCAAGCTGCTTGGCCATTGTTGAGTCTAGCTTTTACTTGAGTTTCATGAAGTATTTAAAGCTATTCAGAGTTTAGAAGAAAATGATAGAAATATTGCAGCCTGTGAATTGTTTGTTAGGCATATGGTCTTGGCATTCAAAATCCAAACTAGCTGCCCAGGTAGAAGGACAGAAAAGTCTTCTGTGACATTGAGAGTATCAGTTTGTCCCCATTGACTTCCAGCTTCCTTCAAAGCCTTCTGGGGTTTATACACCAACCCAGGACTCATTTGAGCTGGACAGAAAGCTGTTTTAATGAAAAGATTTCCCACACTTTGCTGTTGTCACGATATCCTCGGGAGGGGAAAAAGGTCCTTGTGTTTGGTGTGCACTGGCTTCACACTTGTGTCCCCAAACATAGGCAGTGGGAAGCCAAGAGAAATCCCTTGCTTTACTGAGAAGCTCAGCATGGACCTGGGGTGCCTTTACCCAGATGGCAGTCAAAAAATAGTATTGGTTGGGAAGTATGGCTGGGTCACAAGTGTCACTGCTTCTGTTAACCCCTTCATTTCCCAAATACAGCAGTGTATGGGAGGATTTCACCCAGTATGGAGGAGTTATGAGTTCAGAGAATCACACCCTGCAGCTGGCTTTCTTGCCATACACGTGTAACATAAATAGCTAAATCCTTCACTCCTCTGTCTTCCCCTGGTGCACACACGCCTGGTGGATTGTGAACCTTGAGGTGGTGGTGGATCCCTGTGCTTCAATGCAGTTGTGGTCAATGTGGTTGTGTTCAATGCCTTTGCTCACATTTTCTGCCATGGAAACTGTGTGTGTAGCTCTAACAGATTAGGGACAAGTATTTCATACTTAGCAAAAGCAGAGAAACCATCTCAGGAGTTTTTTTTTGTCCCATGGAGTATGCCTTGGCATTTTTACAGGGCTAGGTGCTTCTTGAAAATGTGGCTCTAATACCTTTGGTGGAAGCAATTTTGTCCTTAAAATGAAAAAAAATTTCAAGGCCCTTTCTGTCTGCTGTCATCCTGCACAATAGCATTTGGTACATCCTGAAACAGAGGCTGGCATACCAATAGTAAATGCATGAGATAAAAATAGTTAATGGGCAAACTGCACTTGCTTCACTCTGTGCTTTATGGATAGTCATAAACACATCTTAACTGAAAATGATCTGATGTAGTATACATTGTTGCTGAGGTGGAAACACTTGTGTACTCTTCATCTCACACAGCCTGTTTTTGTTTATCAGGACACAAGTAGCTATCAGCACTGGATGCTTAGCTTTCACCTCTAAATCTGGCTTTCAGATCTAGTGGCCTGACTTCTTCCATTTTTGGGGGGTTTGAATTAAACATCAATTCTTTTTGGTGATGAAAGTGTTTTTAAAGCAGCAACCCACCAAGAGGTTTTGAAAGTCAGGTTGCTTGAGAGCAAGTAAAATGAAATTGTGAATAACTTTGCTTTTTTATGTAATTTTCAGATGGGAAGAATAAATCAGAACCACAAAAGGGATGTTAGCAGAGCCGAAGTTATTTAGAGTTTAGGTTTCATAAAGGCTTTGGTAAGATAAAGTCTTTTGTGGCTCTATACCAACCTTCTTAAAAAATAATCCAGAAAGTTGTACTATATGCAGAGCTTGGGGCTAACTTCATTAGTAGTCACCGTATCTTATTCAAATTACACGTACAGTTGGGTGTTTAAATTACAGGAAGACTTTGTGTTTAAGAGTTTCCGCACCATGCCGAGGCTTGGGAAAAAAAGTCAGATTTGACACATAATAGGGATTGATGTGCTACCTCAAATGCTGGTGTTACTGGAAAGGAAGGAACTTCCACAGGAAGAGCAAAGGAAATTATACAGGAATCAATATAGGATGCTAAAAATAGTGCTTGACTTATCTTCCATGTGAGTCAAAATACCCTGCTCAAGAGATACACATGCTATGTCTTGGCTGGTATATCCAAACTGCTCTTACTGGTGTACAGGCTGTCAGGATTTCCTCCAAAGTCAATGGAGAGAGGCAAGTGTCTCTGGAGGACAGTTCATCCCACCTACCTAAGGATTTGCCAGCAAAAAAGAGAGTGCTGTAGAACCTGCCATTTTCCTAATTGCCATCAGCTTCACATGTTTGAAGTCAAGAATGTGCTTAATTAATTAATTTCCTGGAGGGTGTTCAGGGAGCTGAGCACCTGGCAGGACTGAACAACTAGCTTGGAGGAAAACTAAGAAATTTGCAAATGTTCTGGATGAACCTGATGAACAAAACTGGGAAACAAGGAGAGCTTGCCTGCAAGGATGACTAAGTCGCAAGCTTGGAAGCATAACAGGTCCCAGGAGAGAGAATATGATTAGTTGGGTAATTTACAGGTAATATGCTTTCATCGTTTTCTACTTAGCATTAATTTTCTAAAGCACCAGGCAGGAGTTTGCTCAGAGGGGAGGAGAGAGGTAGCGGTAGAGCAGGGGGCTGGGGTGGCATTGTCCTGGGGGATGCCATGCTGTGCCATGCCAGGAGCAGAGCTCAGGCCTCTGAATCCCCCCAAGCCCAGCTTTGTCTGGCTAAGTTTTTTCTCAGACAGAAGTTCTCTGGCAGCATCCATGAGCATCCTCCTTCCATCCACCAGGCCCCTCTGACAACATCAGCACAGGGTGGTCGTGCTTCGAAAGGGGAACAGCCACAGCCATTTGCCTACACATTGAAAAAGACTTGATATTTTGGGATTTGAAGCAGAAGCTTCAGCTCGGAAGTTCACAGGGATTTTAGCCATGCAAAGCAGAAGCAAAACTGAGCAGTGTGAGTTGAGAGATGGTGTTGTTAACCAAGGCACTAACAAACAGTGGAGAATGTGACAGGGAAAATGATGGGTGTATGGCAAATTCTTGGGGGGAAGAGAGGATGTCACGTAGCTTTCTTCACACTTGGGATTAACCTTTCCACACTGCAGTGGCTGTTATATCTGACTAGGCAGCTGGTCAGATCTGTTAATTAGATCTATTTTAAGTCCACGTTTAGAGGAGAACTCTTAAAGAACAACAGATTAGATGAAGGACAAATACACCAGTATCCAAGGTCCTTCTGCTAAATGTGAGAAAACATGGTGTGGGCACAATTAAGGAGGAGATTTTTGTTTCTTAGAATGCCAGTAAAACCTATTATACAAACTCCTCAGGGCTCTATACGCTCCTTAATGGGGATTCTGTGACTAGATTGGGAGCAATACAAGGCCCTAAATTTGAAGATTATAGCCTGTAACATGTCACAGAAAGTTTTTAACATAGCCCCTCTTAATCAGCACCAGACAAACATGTGCAAAGAATAATACCCTCCCTACATGCCTCCCACCTCCAACCTCCCCATCTTGCAAACAAAAAGCTGCAAGAGCCAACAGATCTGCTCTGGCTTGTTTTATTTCACTTTGAGCTTATTAAAATGCTGTGTTTGCAGTTTATATTTGTTGGCACACTGTTATTTCAACGACATTTAAACAAAAACTACATAAGGAACAGGCAGATCAAGAGAGTAGCTCATTTAATTCTGTGTTTTGAAGGGATCCTATGTAGTATTATAATCACCAATTACATTATCTGTGCTATTTATTTGCTTTTGATTTACTTACTTCAGAGGATGACTGACTTCAGCTGTTTCCCTTTGTTTCTACTCATTTCCGCTTTCAGTTTCTCAAGTACCAGCATGACAAATACAGCAACAACCAAATTAATCTACCAGCAGCAAGTGTTTACAACCCTAAAGGATTGTAAACCCTGTGTGGATGTTTAAATTAAATAGGAAAAAATAAATCTATATTAAAAATAGTGTTTATAATGTGTGACTGCACTCCCTTCTCCTCTACAAGGCCAGACCTTGGTATCCAAAGTCCCTGGAATGGAGTGAGTTCTGCTTCCATGGTTTGCCATCCCCCCGCTGATAGCTGCTGTCTTACTGGTGTGAGGTTTGGACACAGCAGCAGCAAAGACTGCCTGCAGCCCTTTATGAGTTGGTACCATCCAGAGCATTGTTGCAGGCCTTTGTTTTGGCTTGATAAACACCCCTTTTAAAATCATTGCTGGTTCCCAAATAGGTTGTTCAGGAGCACTCAAACTGAGCTCTTAACTTCTCTGTACAAGTTGTAGCTACATCTGTACAAGTAAATTTGTTGTTCCCTGCTCCGCTCCCTGGCTCTAAGGGCCCCAGTACCATATGTTTAAGCTCTGCTACTCACCAAAGAGTGTGCCTATCTTAAGCTGCCTTCTGGGAATAGTTTTTGGGCCAGGAGATCTTTGGAAGATGCTCTTTGGCAGGAACCGTACTAACAATTTGACAATACTTTGCAACTGTTCAACAGTTTGAACAAAATTGTTTAATAACAGAACTAACCGGTTCTGTCTCCTGGGAATGGTCCCAGGCATTATTATTGGACTACTAAATTAATGTTTGCATGTGACTCCTCTTCCTGCTGCTCAGCAAAGCTTGACTTGGTCCCACCCCAAGTTCCAGCCTCGTACTCTTTCATCCCCGAACTGAATATCCACAGCCAAGCAGCACAAACTTGATGCCATCAAAAACTGCCTGAACTTCACACCCATGTTGTGTCTTCCAAACAATCAGCCTTGGGACTCTAATTTGAATGTCCTTAAAAATGTGAACCTTTTTTACTATTTACTGAGCTTATGCAATTCCCAGGCAATCCTTAAAACTTTTCTGAAATTCAGGAACCAAAATTCAATTGACTTCAGTAGTAGAGTCAGTATCACAGCTTTGTGGAAGCTCTGCTTCTCTGGATTCACTGGTGCCTTCATATGGTGAGGAGCTGGGCTACAACTAAAAAGTTTTAAGATAAATTCATTTTCTGTGAGCTGCACAAGGCAGCTTTAGCTCTCTCTCCTGAAACCAAGCCAAGATGAGAAGGCAAAATGTTTCCTTTCCCATAGTCCAACAATGATAACATTTTTCATATCAGGTTTTTTTAAGAAAAAAATATACTATGCCTGCATATGTGGGGAATAAGTTCATCTGACTATTTCATCTCCATAATTTCTTTCCTTTCTTGTCAGCTTCATTTTTCCCCTAGGCTCTGAGAAATGAGCTATTTTTCCCTCTCTGTCACTGGAAATAAACAACTATTCCATGTGAGCTTTTCCATCAGGAAGCAAAGCTGAATCTGCTATTCCCCTACACACTGATTACCGATTGTTTGATCTCTTGGGTGTAATGGTGCTTTCTTTGTCCTGTCACGGGTGATATCAATGGTGAAACCTCTGACAAAGGTCAGTGAAAATTTGAATCCTGTTATATATACACAACTCAGAATAATTCTGGGTCAGGCTTCACTGTCTACCAAGACCTCCCTCATCCTCACTGGGAGCCCTGAATGTCTTTCCTGTTCTCCACTTCTTCATCTTCTAGAGGTTAAGGAAGCTGGAGTGACAGTCAATCGCTCTGCAGCAGACCTGCTATAGGTTAGCATTAAAGTACCAGAATGAGTCAATGCTTTACCTGCAGGAGACCTTTGCCTTCCTCTTAGAATGGAGAATGGTTTTTATCACATTGCCCAAATAGGCAGGGAAATGGGAAAAAATATTAGGACTTGGTGAAATAAAGACAAGGCACAGTCTTTGGACAGTAAGTGGTCTATGGCCTGAAGGAAAGAAAATCTTGTATTGGGAAATGACAAGGTGATGTGTTAATGCAGATGAAGAAGGGATGATAAGTTTGTGGTGGTGCTGGAGAAGAATCTTATCATGATGTGGGGTCTGGTATCAAAGGCTTACTCTGAATCCTGAGGAGGTGGTTACAGTCCAATCTGATGATCTGACACTGAAAAGGCAGAAGAAAACATTTCCCATGGCTTTCTTTTCTAGGAGGAGGAAGTCTTACGGGTATCACAAAGCCACTGGGTTGTCCCCAGCTGGGGAAACAAGGAGGTGAATCAAAATTTCCCAGGCTTTCATACAGAGAAGAACAGTGGTGGGGAATGTCATGGTAAAAGCAAGGAGCTGCTCCAGGCTTTGTCAGACTGTGCCCAGCCACAGCAGTCACTTCAGTGCCATCAGCAACCTCACAACAAAGTGATGGTGGACAGCAGAGGAGGTAAAATGTGGGCTATCTGAAAGGCACAGTTGTCTAAAGCCATCTGTTTCCATCAGCAATAGTCTTGAGGTCCTTTGTTCAGAGGTGGGATGATCTGGATGAAACCTGAAGGCATCAGACAGCAGGGTCCTAAGGAGCTTCAGACAAATTCCTACAGGAAGAAATAAACAAACAAGAAGGACTCCTGGGCTGGTTTTTATGTTCTTTCACTCATATAGGTTCATTAGCAGACAAAATTGTCTTGCAGGCAGCACAGGCTCTTCCTCACACACTTTTCCAGCTTCTCTAACAGGAGATAATGACTTGCCAGCTGTCTTAGGCTCATTAGCAGCATAATTTCACATTTTAACTTTCCTGCTACTATGTTTGAGGGCCAATCCTGGCTTCCCTGTGCCTGTGAACTAACTCTTCCTGTTGTAGAGAAAACACTTGGCAGGGTATTAAAGGGAAAAGATACCTTTGGAGATTTTTTTTTTTCCAGGATCACTCTTCAGTCATTCACTTTGAAGCTGATTTAAACTGGAAGACCAGTTTTTGCAATCTGGTGGCTGTCTTAAAAACTCACAAGTTCCAAGGTACTGCTTATCTTCTCAGGAGTACCCAAATTGCACATGACAAGCTCAGTGACAGAGGGTTCACCATTATTTTTTTGTTTGTGCCTGCCACCCACTCCTTTACTTAATCTATTTCCAAAACACCTAACTGGTAGCACATTTTTCAAAAAATAATTTTAAATAGCAAAGCTAAACATTTCCCATGAGAATCCCCAGGAAGAAATATGTAGGTTTTATCAGTATTAATTCTTAGCTGGCACTTCCTCCCAAGAATTATTGTTCCCCTAAGAAATGGTTTTGAGGCAACTACACAACGTAACTTAAAACATGCTGCACATTAGTCCAATCTCATCCTTTTTATGAAGAGAGAGGACAAGGAGCCAGCCAAAGCACTCTTTGTACTTGTCTTGCTTATGGCTATTTTATAGACTGTAACCTTCCTAATGAAGCACAGCCCACCAAACCTAGCTGGAAGGGACTAATGCTCCAAGCAGCTACTTGTAGAAAATGAACAGTACAAATTGATGTAGTTCTGCTGATGGGGTGTTAATGAACTTCCAGCCCAGAGAACCCTGTCCTGGACATGTTTTCCCAGTTGCCTCAAATAAGAGATGGTGCATTTTCACAATTGTTGCACTGTAAGTAAAACAACCACCTTATGTGTAATGACACTCAGCTTTTAGCCTCAGAAAAATGTTAGCATTGAATACAAAGGAATAAATTAAAAAAAAAAAATTAGGGATTGGGACCAGCATACAGTACTGCTCTTCCAGATGTGTTGTTCTGGCTTCAA